TCATGTTCATTTTAGCTTTCAACTGCTATTTTGTTAATTCACATTTTTGGTACCATTTTCTGAACATAGCTTTTAGCTGTGGTTTTGCTCATGTTAGCTACTGTTTATGGTCATTTTAGCTTTCAGCTGCTATTTTGTTAATTCACCTTTTTGGTACCATTTTCTGAACGTAGCTTTTAGCTGTGGTTTTGCTGATGTTAGCTACTGTTCATGTTCATTTTAGCTTTCAACTGCTATTTTGTTAATGCACCTTTTACATACCATTCTCTGAATGTAGCTTTTAGCTGGGTTATGCTAATCTTAATGTTTAGTTACAATTTTGCTGGCTTAGGTTTTTGCTTTTTTTAAGCATTTAGCTACAGTTTTGCTTTTTTTTGCATTTAGCTATGTGTTTTCTGATTGAGCATTTATCTAGTTTTGCTCATTTTAGCTTTCGTTCTGCTTGTTTAACCTTTTCACAACTCAGTTTCAGCTGCAACAAAACTCAGCAGTCATCGAGCATCTTCACAGCATCTTCACTCTCATTTTAGTTCAAGTTTATCTCTAGATTTATGGGGAAATACAGTAAATGTAGCAGCAGAAATTTGAACCAAAAGCATTTTTAATCTATTTTTATAAACATTTATGTGCCATTTCTTTAATACGCTTTATTTAACTGTCGCCATGACTTTAATGACCAAAAGTGCCAAAAAAATTAAAATGATTTGACAGTTTTTGTTTAAGGCCCTCATATTAGTGTTGAAAGTTGAATTTCATCCATTCATCATCTTTACCTGCTTCTTCCTTTTGGGTCGCGGGGCTCACTGGTGCTCATATCCAGTGGTCGCTGTGTGGAGGGTGGGGGACACCCTGGACAAGTCTCCAGTCCATCACAGGGACACATAGAGACAAACAACCATTCTCTCTCACTCACCTAGAGACAATTTAGAGTAATCAATCAGTCTAACATGCATGTTTTTGGTCTGTGGGAGGAAACCGGAGTACCCAGAGAAAACCCACGCATGCACGGAGAGAACATGCAAACTCCACCCAGTAAGGTCCACGGCTGGAATTTGATCCATTGACCTTCTCGCTGAGAGGCAACAGCTCGTCGCCTTTGAATCACATCTCCATCTTTTCCCATCTACCGTATTTTTCAGACTATAATATAATATAATATAATATAATATAATATAATATAATATAATATAATATAATATAATATAATATAATATAATATAATATTATATAATATAATATAATATAATATAATAACTATAAAATCAATGAACGGGTCTGTTTTCATTCATAAGGCGCAGCGAATTATAAGGTGCATAAAGCGAAACAAGTTCATTTTGACAGATTTTTGAGCGTGGTGTACCACATATAATCAATTCAAGGTCAGTAAGCACAACCAGAATTAATACATAAGATTAATACATTTTTAAGTGCTCCTTATAGTCCAAAAAAGAAGGTACTTTAGATTTTTGCTAGAATTCGACAACACCCTCTGCTGGAGACTGAAGTCTAAACGTGCACGCAGAAAACATTTCTGTAACACATTCAACCATAAAGATCTCCTTAAACAAAACATATGACCAACTCCTGATATGGGTCAGCACAATTCAAGATGGCCACTACAGCTAATCCACACATTAAAAAAACGTGACAATTCAGTCAGTTGTACAGCTATGGAGCTAAAGGTTTGTGTGGTAGTAGCTGAGAGTCATTCACAACACATACTCTGAACACTGTATATGGTAGTATATAGTTTTTTCTTTAAGACTTTGACATGCAAGCCAGCAGATGAGATGCGTCATTTAAAGGAATTTCATTTTACAACCCAAACCATAAAGTTCCATCAAACAGGAAACTGATCAACTTTACTCACATTTAGATTACTGATCAGTAATTAGTCCTTTACTGGAAAACACCACGTTGTGAACACTACAGTGCAAAGACACAAGTGCTCTTGTGTTTTTGGCATTTTTTCCAGCGGTAAGATCTAACATAGAGAAACACTTATCACTTTAAATCCCATAATTAAAATCAAACTTAACTTTTTTTTTTTACTTTACACAAATCATTGTAATGTCAAATAAACGATTAATCTTATTTTTCACCTAATTGTTCTATGTAGTAGGTGCTTTTAAACTGTAGCACTACAACCCATATCTGTAATAATGCAGTTTATTAGACATTATAATCTAAAACAATGTATGTGGAGAAGCAGACATTTCATGGATTCCTCATCAAGTTTCTTCATGTGAAGGAGCTCAGAGGTTATGCTTTGAATTAGGAATCAACTTGAACAAAAACTGAATAGGACAAATAATAAATAATACATTTAGGTTCAAAATGTTTACGTACAAGACATAAAAAGGCAGCTATAATTACTAATCCAGTCTAAGTAGATTGTATATTCACTGGGCGCATCATACCCTGTGGACTGTGGATCCCGAGCTTGTCATAAGCTCTCAGAAATTAGTTTTTCAGCTCACACCATTGGTTGGTTCACAAATCTCTTAGACCAGAGGCAATGTGTTCAATTTAATGGTACTTCTTCCAGTTATTTAACGGTCAACAATGGTGTACCACAAGGCTCAGTCTTTGGTCCCACCCTCTTTACAATCTACATAGGTAATGCAGGTCAGAGCATCTCTGATGCATTCTTACATTTCTATGCTGATGATACAGTTGTTTATTGTCGAGCTAAAACAGTGGCTAACGTTTTCCAGCTTTTGCAATCTGCATTTGACATCATCCAGTCAGATTTGTTCTGTCTCAAACTTGTGCTAAAAGCAGACAAAATCAAAGGAATGCTGTTTTCAAACAGGAAGTCAGTCCCAGCAGTTTTTCCTTCGATTTTATCCTCAAATTGTGCTCCTATTGAGTTTGTTGATTCCTACAAATATTTGGGTATTTTGGTCAGTTCGTATCTCTGTTTTAAGTTCAATGTGGAAAACCTAGTAAGGAAACTGAAAGTAAAAAATAAAGATCCTGTCTAACTCTGAATGCTAGGAAACGCCTTGTATTTGCGACTTTCCTTCCCTCCACTGACTATGGTGACATTATTTACATGAACGCCCCTACAAGCACACTGCAGATGTTGGATGCTGTCTATCATGGTGCGTTAAGATTCATAACTGGCTGTAACTATCGTGCCCGTCACTGCACCCTGTATTTACTGGTTAACTGGTCACCATTAACTTCACACAAACTCTCCCACTGGTACATTTTCATCTTTAAATCACTTCTTGGTCTGCTGCCTTCATACATCTCCTCCTACATGCCACTGAATGAGTGCAGCTACAGCGTGAGCTCTCAGGACATTATTACCTGCAGTGTTCCCTCGGTGAGGACTGAACTAGGCAAAAGGGCCTTCTCCTATTCCGCTCCTGTTTCCTGGAATATCTTGTAAAAAGATCTGTGGCTCTCGACCTTGACCTCTCTAAGTGGCTTTAAACATCTGCTAAGTTCATGGCAAAACCCAATGCAGACATGTTCCTGTTTTTAGTTTTCTACATCGCCTTACAACCTAGCTGTTTTTTTTTTGTTTTTCATTTTTTAATGCCATTTTCTTTCACTTGTTCTTCTCAATTTGTATGCTTCCTTTGTTTTCCTTACTGTTGTCATCATTCTTTGCTAGAATCAGGTCTCTCTTGTGAATGAGTCCTCGGGGCTCAATGGGATTAACTTGTATAAATAAAGGTTGAATGAATACCCGTCATTAACATCAGTTCAGGGGCGGCATTTTAGTTTTTGCAACACTCGTGATCCCTCTGCCTCCCGAGCAAGTTGAGGCAGTGTAACCTTCAGCTCCGAACCCTTCAGCTGACCTTGTGACGGCTGCTGATGGAGGCTGCTCTGTTTCTGCAGGTGGGTGGTCACACGATGCTGCCCATTCGCTGGATGCCTCCAGAGAGCATCATGTATCGGAGGTTCACCACAGAGAGTGACGTGTGGAGCCTCGGGGTGGTGCTGTGGGAGATCTTCACCTACGGCAAGCAGCCCTGGTACCAGCTCTCCAACAATGAGGTCAGTCACTTGAGCACCCAACCTCAGTCTAGTTATACTTTAGAGTTCCCCCTACTGCATTATGGGAAATGTAGTAGCCCTATTCTGTGATTTTTGGAGGTTGGCATTAGAAATCTTAACTACTGGTGCTTCAAAAATGTGCTGGTGTGAACACAAAACTAAAACAATTAAAGAGACAATTCAGATTTTATGGAGTAAAGTTCAGTAAAAAAAGTTGGGATTAGTTAATAGCTTACCTGCTGAAGATAGCTCTTTGAACTGTCTCAGTTTGGAGAAAAAAGAGTTTAGGTCTGTGTGGACTGGTGAGTTAAAGGTACGTGCATCATAGCTAAGACACACTTCAATCACTTTTGTTTAAAATGATGCTGTTAACTTATTGGTGTCAACTCTGTTTGTCTGTTAGCAAAATATCTTGTAAAACACCAAACAGATGCATGAAACTTTCATCAAATAATCACTGCCTGTACTTCTACAGCTGATTACTTTTGTGACCAACCCATTTCAAGATGGCTGCCACAGCCAACTGAACATAAAAAACACAATGATTCTGTCGATTGTTACAGATGTTTAGCTAAAAATAGACTAAATTGTAGTTGAAAGTCTTTCGTAACACATACCGCAAACAATTTGCTCAAAACTTTAGCATTGTTGGAGTTAGCCAAATATCATATGGACCACATGATGGATTTTAATGAAACTTTCTGGAAGTAACTATTGGATTTAATTTTACAACTGATTTTCTTTTGGATTCAATACGAATTAGGGTGGCCATCCCAACTAACCATCACAGAAATGGCTAGAACGTAGTTGATTTTACAGATATTGAGCTAAACTTTGACGTAGTGGCTGAGTCTACTCTGAAAGTGACATGTTGTGATATCACATGTAATATTTTCAAGACATACATGCAATGTGCCTGAATAAAACCCTTGTTATGTAATATATTTTGATGATTAATGTGTAAAAGAAGATACCGTAATTATTTTTAGCAGGGATGCACAATATTATTGGCATGGTATCGGTATCGGCCGATATTAGCGATAAAGTTAAATATCAGACATCAGCCGTTCCATCAAAATAACTCAGCAATATAAAAGGTGATGTTTTTGTATGGCAACCCAGTGACAAGGATGCCTGCAGTGCCAGCACAATGTTAAGACATCACACGTGTTGTTGAGTTTAGATTTGTGAAAATTTACAAATTGGCACAGTTCGAGTGTTGTCATTGTGTTAGAGAGAGTAAATGTCATGAAAATTGACATTAAACATAATCCAAGTTGAAGTGTTACATCATTCTCAGCCAAATTGACAAAGACCATGCAGAATAATGTAGTATTTGAATTCCACAGCAGAGAAAGATATGTGGCCTCTGTAAGTAGGTCTAGGGAAAAATATCGGTATTGGTATCGGTTATCGGCCAAATAAATTTTAGCATATCGGCATATCGGATATTGGCCAAAAATCTAATATCGTGCATCCCTAATTTTTAGTGACATGAAGTAAATCTGATCTAACGTGTCTATGAGGCTGTGTCATCAATTGTTTGTAATGAATATTAACAGAAAGATAACATTAACAACATTTTTCATTCACACTGCTGAGATGAACAGCTGTTCAGATATTTGCATGCGTGATAACAGGAAGTGACAACAAAAGGGATCGCCTGCAATGACTAACAACACTGACATTAGAGAAGAATGAAGCTTCTTTAGATTATTTTGAGTCACAATCAGAGAGACAAAGAGGAGTCAGAGTTCAAATAACATTTCGACAATCATAGACCAGGAAGTTCCCCTTTGATGTCACTTCCTGTTTCACTTTAGCTGCGCCAAGTTCAAAAGAAATGCCAACTATGTGACAAAACGGGTAAAATCATGTGTATTAAGACAATATTCTTAAATATTAATATGTTATTGTTCACTTTTTGTATTTGTAGGATATGCATGTGACAGGAACTTTAATGCCATTGTCTCCTGCAGGTGATTGAATGCATCACGCAGGGCCGAGTACTGCAGCGGCCCCGCACCTGTCCCAAGGAGGTGTATGACCTGATGCTGGGCTGCTGGCAGAGGGAGCCCTACATGAGGCTGAACATCAAGGAGATCCATGGCATGCTCCAGAGTTTGGCCAAGGCCTCTCCCGTCTACCTGGACATACTGGGCTGATGCACCGGCGTCCATGTATGTAGTTTACGTGTGCTTCGTACGTGGACAAGTAAAGAAGCATTGAACAGCACATTAAGGCAGAGGGAGGAAGCGGCGGTTTAGTGACTGCTCTGTGTACAGTATCTGGCTGTAAATGTGACTGTAAATGCTGATTGTCCATGGCCTATACATCACATGGAGGGAAGCCTTAAATTTTAGGTTTTGCTTCTTTTTTTTTTGGTCAATTTACAAACTTTATAAGGCATGTTTCGTTAAAAAGGAAAATAAATGCAAAGTTGTATCGTTTTCCCCAAACCTTAAGCGCTGCAGTTGTAAAAATAAACCAACAGACACCTTATTCTGCCCAAATTCACTCATCTCTGCTCAGTTTCTAATGTTTGCTGGAAATAAACACACACAAAAAGAAGAAATACCCTTTAAAAGACGATGTGTGCATTTTATTTTATTTAAATTAAAACAATCTAAACCCATGTATAACAGTACACAAGTAAAAAGATCACGGTAAACCACAATATATTTTTAATACTATGATCATTTATGCTCTGAGTCATACCCTAATTTGACAAAAAGTTTGCGCAAAATGTTTTAAAAGCAGCTGTGAAACGTGCTCAGACATGTTGAAAGCGCAGAGACGTGGGACTCGGCTGCACAGGTTGTTTCACTTGATTGTTCTGCTGCTGTGCCGTGCGTTGTTCAATGGCCCAGATGTCGAAGTGTTGAGGTGTTGCAGTTTGGGATTTCACTTTACAGACCAGAGGGAGTTCATCGTAAGGGCCATCAGGGTAGTTCAATGCTGTTTTGCACTGATGTGGATCAGTTGATTGATTTCTGTGTTTTCAACATTTTTAGTTTTAAATATATAGAATAAAAGACAATGAGACTGCGGTGAGTGTATTAACAATCATCTAAATGTCTTTGAGTTGACGCTGGGGTGTGTTCATCCCACCGTGAAGCCGCTCTGAAGCACATTAGTGGTACACTTGTGACATCTTCAGTAGTTTTAGATTTCTAGAGTAAAACCAATGATGGTGTGGGTGTCCAAGATCTACTTCTGTGTTAATTTTAGCAAAAAAAATACAGAGGCAGCAATCACTCCATGAAACAAACCTCTATGTTTTGCTAAATGAAGGTGTACAGAAATAAGGCGACGAGTTTGGTTTGTCGGGTGCACTTTGTAGCATTTTGTAACCCCCAAATCAAGTCCAACTCCATATTTACAATCGTTGTCGATACTTTTTTTTGTGCTGCTTTGTTTTTTTTTATACAGTGTTCTGTATTATATTCACGACATGTCTGCTGTACATACACTGCTGTACAGTTCTGATATTTGTCTATATCAATAGTAGGCTATGTTTAACAGTATAATCTGTTTTCAGCAGGTATGTCAAAACTGTGCGACGTCTATCGAAGACAACGTGTTATGGGCCACTGGCAATACATAGTAACTGTAAATAGGATTTGATTTGTGCTGCATTGTTTTTCTTTGTGCTCGTTCATATAACCAGTGAGAATACAATCTTCTTTTTGGGCAACCTTTAAGCTGCAAAGGACTTTGTTTAAATCAATGAGATTTTCTCTGAAGATTAAAAAAAACATTCTTCCTCTCCACTGTGATGGAGAGCTGCCTGTCTGTAGGAGGACCACAGACTCTAAACATCAGCATCTCTCCTCACCAACATGGCGTCCCAGTAGGTGGGGTGGTCGGAGAGGTCAAAGGTCGCCTCATGTCCGACAACCCCACACATAGCTCTGACCGTCTCTGACTGACTGTAGCCTATTTTGATCCTCTTTCAGATGAATAACTGTGACTTTGCATTATGAATAGTATATTATTTTGAATGTAATCTAGATCGGTGGGGACATTTTTTGAATGTAATGTATATCTGGGTGGGGGGGGTGACATGTTCTTTTTTTTTTGTAAATATATGTTAAAAGAAGAAAAAAGATTACGATTTTCATTCTTGTGAAGATAACAAATTTTAATTATGAGAATACAAAGAGTGTGTTTGTATAAATTTGCACATACATGTGAGTGTAAGAGAGAGTGTGCGTGGGTGTGTTTGGGGGGGGAGGACGCTCCCAGCAGATTTGATCCTGCTATAATCAGCCAGTTCTATCAATCAATTCAGAGCTTTGTGCATCATGTGAGTAGCTTATCCACAATTAATGGAAATGTTTCTTGTGATACTGTGCATTTATTAAAGGTGGTATGTCTTACAATAAACTTTGTGCTTTTCTTCATAAATTTTGATGTATCAAATATAAAAGCAAAAGATAATGCAGGCTATAAAAATGTAGAAATGAGCCTGTTGTGTTTCCAATAAATATACAACCCCATTCCTGAAAAGTTGTATAAAATATATATATATTAATAAAAACAACAACAATACAATAATTTACAATAATTAAAAGACTGAGAAAATGTCACCTGGATGGGAACATACGTTGTTTTGAAAACTGTATATACTTTTCTGTATTGATGGTGTATTAAGATTTGTAAGCTGCCCATACCATAATGCACCCCCATACCATCAGAGAGGCAGACTTTTGAGCTGTGTGCTGATAACAAGCTGGATGGCTCCTCTCCTCTTTAGTATGCAGCATGTGGTATCCATGGTTTCCAAAGAAATTAATACAAGGGTAAAATAAGGGTTTGCCCAGATAATGGCTTCTCTTGTACGACTTCTTTGCACATTAAAGCTTTAATCAGCATTTGTGGATGGCAGCGCAAACTAAAAATGGTACTATTATACCGCTTACTCAGGGCTTAATTTGCAAACGGATGGATGCTGGAACGCAAATAGCAGGCGGGTTGGCCGACGGGAGGATGCGGGGGATTCTCCCTCAGAAATTTTTGAATAAAGTAGATGCGATTTCCTGAATTTTGGAGTATTTTTACGGGTTGTTAAACATCTACGTTTACCTACATAAGTAAACACATCGCTACTGTGAAGCATCCCTCCCCCACTTACTTGACGGTTCGGCGCCTGAATCTTCTCCGCTAAATTCACTGTTCGACTCCACATGTGAAACCTCCAGGCGCCTCCTATGTCTGTTCATGACGGCAGCCTGTGGGTCGCTGCCTGCGTACGACTGCCTGGTTAGCTCGACGCTCACCCCCACCACTCTTTTAGGGGCGGAGATTCTTTTAAGAGTAGAAGTGGAAATGCTACTTGAAGAGGCAGACTGTATGTGATATTAAGAAGTCATGGCTGTTGTGTTTAAAATGAGTGTTTATGTAATTATTTTCAGTTAACATATCTAATATGAGTTTTATTCGTTCAAGGCAGTCATATTTGTTCATAACTTTATTATTAGTAGGCTTGAGTTACCGGATCTTAGCAAACATTTACTAGAACGCATCCTGTCAAAATAAGAGTACTTATTCTTTTACAGCCTTTTATTGTTCCAGTCCTCACTTATAAAGATATGTTGCTGCTATCAAAGGTAAAATACTTTAATAAAGATGGGTACAATTTTCTTATTTGAACATTTGATAAGTCTATATGTTTGGACTGTGGTAGCTCGGTGGTCAGTGCCGTGGTCTTATATTCCTGAGGTTGCGGGTTCAAGCCCAGGTTGTGTCATGTTGGGCATCCGGCGTAAAACAAATTGCCAAATGTGACTGTGGTGACCCCAGAAGAAGGAAGCAGCTGAAACTTACAATATGTTCATTTGTGAAGGGGCAGTGGCACCGGTAGCTCAGTGGTTACTTCTGCAATATTGTAATCTCAGTCTGCAGGTTCAAACCCAGGTTGTCAGGAAGGACCTCTGGTGTAAAGTAACCTTTTGTGTAAGTTCCCTTACTGTAGCAACCTTTGACAAAGGGAGAACAATGAAGGAACAAGAACTGTGAATAAAGTATGCACAGCATTCTATTCTCACGTTTCTGGGAATGTGGTTGTACTTGCTGTGCGTTAAACATTAAGCTACATTTATATAGATGACATTCATTGTACTAAACTTACAGAGAAAAGTTTTATCAAGCAAAACATGTTGTTTTGTAGATTATTGGCAACGTATTAATCTGCTTTGACAACTTGACACAGTCAAATTCAAATATATGGGTCTTTTTATACTGATATAACCTAAGGCCAAATAAAAAAAAATACATTATTACAAATGGCTAAAAGGTGGAAATATACATTTTTTGGTTTCAGCTGTTCCCACTAACAAATAGAAAATGTTAAGCGCTTGTTCGTTAACCAGCTAAACACCTTTAGCTGAACAAATATTTGAACACCTGCATGGGCTTCATTGCATCATAAACAACGAGAAGTTATAATGTAGAGTCCTGCTGATGCCACTGTTGAAGTTTTAAGTCACATGAACTAAAATGACTTACTTTACCGCACGACTATGAGCCACAGCATCACTCGTTTCTGAAGGAGCTAATTAAACATGCAGCGTACGGATTGGTTTCTGTAAATGAATTCGCACTTCACGAACGTACACAGAGACAGAAAGAGGATGGGGTGACTCAAAATCTCAAATATGAAGACCTTACTTTCATCCTTTGCTGTGAAACAGTGCAAGTCCTCTTCGCAGTCCAGCAGCTCACAAATGTTTGGAGTCAGAAATCGACGTTCAGCGCCAGGTGGTGATGGAAGCTAGCCTCTCTCGCTCATGGTCGAGCGGATGCAGAAACTGTCTATTCCTCTTTTTAAGTCTCTAATTAATTCAACAGTTTCTGCTCGTCTTCCGTTGCTCCAAGCTCCTACAAACACCCACTCTCTTCGCTGCGATTTTAAGCGATAGAAAACTTTTCATGCCACAGAACTGAAGTCGGCCTAACGTCTGGACCAGCAGTGTCCACGTTCTGTTACAGGATATCTGTATTAGTCTGAAGTAGTTGAGAAAACAGATTTAAAAGAGCCAGCTGCCCTGCGTGTGGTCGAGAAGCATCATACGGGCACCATTTCTAACAGTAACCGCTGAGTGACGTGGACAGTTGGTTCACAGAGCTGCAGCACTCTGCACACGCTTAATACTGACAGCTACATGCATGGACTTCAAGCTTTTCAATCTTAAAAATACTTTAGGACTAATTTTTCTTCAGTTGTGAACCAGTTACCAAACTTACCTTGGTGATTGAATCCATCAAACAGAGACTTCAACATACTCATCACTGCTGCAGAAACTATTGATTGTAAAAACTCACTCAGTTAAAACATGAGCAAGCGTTGGGTGATAACCGCCTGCCTGAGTGAAAACACGTTGATGACATTCAGACTCACAAATCAGGAGCAACTGACCTGTTCTCATTTGTTCACGTTATAACGTGATATCTAATAAATTATAATAATCTTAACATAATAATCTTTAGTATACTAAATATTAATCAAAGATTAATATTAATCAAAGCTCTCAACAACCTAGCTCCATCTTATATTACAGATATTATTGTTCCATATTTTCCCAACAGAGCACTTTGCTCTCAGACTGCAGGTTTACTCGTGGTTCCTAGAGCAGGCTATTCAACTAGCGGCCCGGGGGCCAAATCAGGCCCACGGATGAACTCCGTTCGGCCCACCTACGGCTTCATTTTAAATAAAACTAGATTTTAAATCATGAAACAAGTCTTAATGACAATAACTGCTGGACGTCCGGCCCCTGAGCTCTGGCTTTCAGTAACTGTGGCCCCCGGAGCAGTTTAGTTGAAAAGCCCTGAGTTTCCAAAAGCAGAATGGAAGATCTTTCAGTTATCAGGCTCCTCTCTTGTGGAACTAACTTCCAGTTTCTGACTGTAAGGCTGACATTGTCCAGTTTTAATTATTTTTTGATAGTTTGGCTCATGCTGTCAAGCTTAAACTGCTAGAGAACAACTTGACCTCATTTTTTAAAATTGTTAAAACTGAACAGTTTTCATTTGCTACTATTTCTATCTCAACATGTGATTCTTGACCTGCCATTGTGTATCTATTCCTCTCAAATCCAGCCGGATGAAGCAGATGGCCACTTGTCCCGAGTCTGGTTCTGCTAAAGGTTTCTTCTTCATGAGGGAGTTTTTCCTTTCCACTGTCGCCTTCATGCTCGCTCAAGATGAGAGTTCTGTGATGGAGTTAAATTCAAAAGCAGTCTGCTCCTCAGATAATATTTTTATATACGACCGTTTCTGTTCAGTGCCCTGAGACGACTTCTGTTGTGACTTGGTGCTACATAAATAAACTGAATTGAATTGATGCACATTTGAAAAGCTGGACTTACACGAGACACTAAAATGTACTTTTATACAAAAAAATACAACTTATCTGAGCTCTTCTTTTAAGTATGAGCGACTTGCTATAGTGATATTTTTATGAGAGGAAACCTGCATTAACGGAAGCAAATTAACTCGGACTTATAGCAGAGGGAGGAAAAATTAAATTCCTCACATACCTTGAAGATGTCAAAATAAAAATCTAAGCTGTGCCAGGAACAAATCTTTTATCATACAAAATGTAAAAAGATAAAACTCTCGTCGTCACTTCTAAATGGTGCACGTCTTTTCCATTTACAAATGTTCGATCACTAATAAAACACAAGGTGCAAACGTGAGGTGGGGTTCTCACTTTCATCAAAAGCTGCGCCACATTTATTGTATTCTAAATTTACATAAAAAACTGCCCGTGTCTTATGAAAGTTAACGCACAACTTGAACGTACATCGTTTAAATTTTTTTACATGGAGGGTAAAAGTCTAGGCATGACGGTGGCACGATCCATGTTAAGGCTCAAAAGAATAGGAAGCAAGTATGAATAAATAGAAAGTGCAAGCTTTAGCAGAAAGGGTTAAAAAAAAAAGTGAGCTAAGTCGCAATTCCTTAAGTCCATGAACAGCTTTTAGTTTGACATGAGCAGCTCTGGACTGCGTCATCTATAAATTATATTCTGCCTACAGTTCGTAGAACTAAAGGTTTACCACCTGGAGGAAAGCTCTTTGTTTTTTACATTCTCAGGGTTTTATTCATTCAACGTTTATTAAATGAAGTAATTTATCCAGAGCCACCAGAGTCTTGTTAGTTTTAAATACTTGAAATTTAAAACATTTTTAGTCTAATTTCCCCATGTCAGATTATGAGCTACTTAAGATTTCAATACTTGCTACCGTTGGAAAAACTCAGGAACGCTTTGGGAACTCTTCAAAAATACGTTTTGAATGACAGTCGTTAAGTCATGCACGCTGCAAATAACTGCATGCAGGTAGTTTATGGTAACCCATCCAAGAACTTTTTATTTATTAGTAATCATTAACACGCACACACACAGCAGCTTCATCAGAGGCGCTTGTGTCCTCCTGACTTTTGAAGGTGGAGTATTTATATGGAGAGCCATTCGTACGTCACAGGAAGCAAACCTCTGCCTGTAACACTAACCTGCTCAAGAGTTAAGTGGATTGATTATCAGCTTCATATATATTTCATATATATATTTATAGAATTTTTTTCTCACTTGCTCGCTCACGTACACATTTTATCCCGCTTGCTCTCTCTTTAGGTTTTGTTTACAATGTAACAAATATGGTGACGGGCCTGAAATTACAATCACCAGAACAAACTCAGAAAACAGAAGAGGGTGAAAAGGAGGGGGCGGGGCCAGGGGGAGGACTGCGGCTGTCCATCACTGACAGTTGCAGCACAGAGGACACAGTCTGCTCGCTGCTCGGACATCAAAGAGGCGGCGGCGGAGGCTCCCTCCCTGAAGAGCTGCTCTCTCTAAGCTGGAGGTTCTCTAATGCCACATCTAAAGGCATGATATCCACGCAGCCCATGGCTCCGAAGTCGGCGAAGTCTCGACGCTCGTCCTCGTCTGAAGAGGAGCTCTCTTCGTGCATTAGCGTAGACAAAAGCAGCTCCTGGACGAACAAGCTGCAGTCGGCGCGCTCTCCTTCAAGATACTGTCGATCTGCTTCGGACATCTTGGGCTCATTCAACCTGAAAAACAAACACTCACATTAGAACGCCTTCACTGTTCTGATAGGAAATAATTAGAAACATATTGCTGTTTAGACCTTTTTAATGTTTTATGATGCTACTTTTTCAAAGAAATCAGAAACGATAGTTAAAATGAAATAGTTCTGTACATGTTGTTTCTGTTGCATTTCTAATCTCAGTTAGTGACCAAATTCAAAAGCTTCTTATTGCAACAAATACAATTTTTGGGCAACTAGTATCAGTTCCTTTTGTTTTATGGTGAAAGAGAGTTGGGCATTATGACTGCAGGTCCGCTGAAGTGTGGGATTATTGGTTTGGAGACCCACTGCTTCTAGCAAGAATCATTGTAGTTACCAAAAATGTCTTTTTAAACAAGCACAATGCCCTTAACTGTCTTGGGGCCCAAAGTGCACGCAGAATTATTATTGCCAGCATTTTAAAGCATTTAAAATTATGTTAAAATTAGTAATTCAAACATTAAAACAACTGGGGAAATCTGGAAAAAACTTGATCGAAAGGATACCACGTCCCATTTCATTTTCATCATCAGGTCAAGCTAGAAAACAGAAAATGTAATCTGAAGTAAAAATATTCTGATGGGCAAACCTAAAAGTATTTGACACAGTTCCTGCCAAGTCAGTCGACCCCAAAGGAACAGAAGAGGTTGGTACACAAAACTGAATAATGGGGGACTTTCTAATCTTAAGGTAGGTTCTAACTGGACTGTGGCGGTGCTCCAGAACGTTTGCAGAAACTTCCAGCTTCTTTATCTAAGTTGCAGAGTCTAGCAGTCTTATTGCTTGAGTTTTGAACATGCTCCCCCAAAAAACAATTTGCAAACAATTTTCTCAAAAGAGGCAAACTTATAATGGAGGTGGACAACAAAATAATGTGCACAGTAATAGTTTATACGCAGTGATTTTTAAAAGCTGGCTGCTCAAAACATGGCATGGGGCTTGCTAGTCACAAACACTCAGAAATAAGCGAGACAAAGAGAATTTGACTATTTTCTCACAATTTTGATTCACCAACTAGTCTCCAACCTCCACAACCAAATATCAGACCTTAAACGTGCTCATTTATATCATCAGCAGAATGACAACTTTATCAGCTGCTTTGATCTGTGTCAGAATAAATAAAGCTGAAAGACACCAAGGTGAGTAGTAGAATCTGGCAAATTTTGGTCAATAACTCGCGTCTCTTGTGTTTGTATTCTGAAACAGGAGCAGTCTAATTAAATGGCCTAGTTGAGCTAAAACAGTCGCTCCACTTTACAATAAGTATTGACTGACTGGCCTCACTCACCGTGCTAATAGGAACTGGGAGCTGTGGGATGAGGACGAGGGATTGCTTTCGCCCACAGTGTTGGTGTTGGCCGTTGCTGTGCTAGAAGGAGGGATGGTGGTGCCAGGGTTGCTCGGATTGTTGCCTCGTCGCGTAGCGTGGCGACCCGTCTCTACTTGCAGCCGTGCTGCCTGAGCCTGCTGCCGCTCCAACTGCAGTTGCATCTGGAGCTGCTGGAGCTGGGAGGCTGAAGGCCCAGACGAGTTTATCTGCCCCCCCGCAGCTCGCCGCACACCTGACAGCTGAGACAACAACTCTGTAGGAGACACGAGAACAGACTCAGTGTTGATTGGTTTTAATTAACTCTGCCTCGGAAAGACAGGAATATGAATACCTGGAAGGGAGTAGAAAAACACTGCTGAGTATTGCTTTGACAAAAAAAACATCTCTTTAATGTGAAGGAAGATTAGATCATAAACATTTATTACCACAAAACACACCACACAATGTTAAATATGATTTATCTCAGAGGACTGGAAACATAAATGTTAACTCTTTTCCCACTGAAGATAAGATAAACGTGAAAAATACATTCAGGTATTTTGTAAATGCAAACATTAAGGCACAGTTTTTTTAATTTTTTTTATTGATAATGGGTTTACAAAGTGAGAATGTAAGCTTTATAAGAGTAATCTTTTTTAACATGAAATACTGTCTTATTTTTAACAACTCTATTTTCACAATAACCCTTAAAAAGTCAATCTGGTTTTCTGGACTTTTCCAAGATATTTCTTCTAATATTGGCAAGAACGTTCACAAATTTTTAGCCCCGTCTCTGTACAAAGTCCTCCCAACGTGGTTTTATATTCAATACTTATCCTAATTATTCAAACCAAACCAAAGCATAAGCAGGCACCTAACAAAGGATTAACCAGCATTTCCTAAACAGAACTGACAACTTTGTGCATAATCTAATTTAAAAAAGGACCTGGGACCATTTTGTCTCATGCAGTTTGCCACAGAGACACAACTTGTCTTTTTTATTATACTTATATGTCCCAAAAGAGGCCAAGGACTACTTAGTTTGACAGACATAAAAGATGTGATTTATAAAGTGCTATTAGCCAAAAACCTGGCATGAAGAATGAAGCGAGAGGAGCACATTATGCTTTGATTTTACAAAGTAATACAGATCTAAAGTATTAATGGACTATCTTTGATATTATTTGGTCAAAATACAAGATTTCTACAGAAAATCACTCGACTTAGTCTGTGTTTGGAAACATTTTCAACAGAACTGATTATAGCAGTTACAGTGACCCGGTTCTGTCCCTGAACAACTTGAGAACATAAAGCATGGCACATTTTATTCAAAAGAAGCTTTCTGTTCCCCCATGGACAAAAATAAGTTTACTTGGATGACATTTCTGTCCTGATTCTGATTAATCATGTATTGAGCATTAGTAATTGCTTATCCCTGATGCTCACCTGCAATTGGGTCCATTGTCTCTCTGTTACTGGGGGTGTAAGTGGAGCTCTGTGATAAAGAGGATGAAAGCCCCCCCGTGGAGCCGCTAGTAAAGTGCATATTTGTTCGTCGTGCTCTGGGGCCACCCAGTCCCCGTCCAGGGTGGAACATCCTGCGGACATGTCGGACACTGCTGGACTCATCGTACGCACACACAGTTAAGGTTAAATTCAGTCAGTTTAAAAGAAAATCATTTGTACACCAAACGGATTTAGTTTCTGACAGCGATGTGTGGCAAAAAGGATATCAAATCTCTTGGCGCTCTGTGTTCAAGAGTGAGATGAGCTGTGAAGTCATCTGTGACGTGGTTGGGATCGCCTCCTGGCAAAGCAGCACAGATCGGACAGATCTGAAGGGGACAGCAAGTTTGAGACGCATCAATGACCTCGCTGATTATGACATACTAAAACAAGTTAAACATTAGGAGAGCTCGTGGACCTTCTCGTTTTCTGCGTGAGGGAAAGAATTTGAACTCGGAATGTTCCGACATAAAACTACACTTAAGCAATTTCAGTTTTTAACACTTCAAACTTTGATTACATGGAATTAAAATGTAGGTAATTTAAGAATGTTTGTTAAGAACACAGTTTTTTATTTGGTATGTATGTGACTTTTGGATACAGATCATCTGCAGATGATCCTGTAGTTGTTTTATTATTGTCCTTATTATTTGAAGGTTCCTTTAACTGGTGCAAAATACACTACACAAAGATCAACACTGTTAATCTTTGACATGCAACACAGATTCAACAGGCTGCTCATAGCAGCAAACTGAAGGAACACTTTGGAACAGATCTTTGCCAAAATGTCTTGTGCGTAGTAGGGATGCACGATATTATTGGCATGGTATCAGTATTGGCCGATAGTAATGTTAAAGTTCAATATCAGACATCGGCCATTCCATCAAAATAACTCACCAATATCAAAGACACTGTTTTTGTATGACAACCCTATGACAAGGATGCCTGCAGTGGCAGCACAACGTGATGATGTCACGTGTGCCTTCCTGATCTCACAGCGGAGAGGAAAATTCAAAATATCGCGGAGTGGAAGTTTTTTTTTGTTGACGTTATTGGATTCTGAAGATTTTTGGACTACGTTGAGCCTCGCTACATCGTCCCCAGTTGGGAGATATTTTTCCAACGTAGCCTTACCTGAGTTTCAACCGTCATTTCCGATGTCATTGAGAAGCTAATAGCCGATAGCACTTGGGTGAGTTTTACCACAGATATTTGGACGTCAAGTGTTAGCCCCGTTAGCATGATTAGTCTTACGGCACAATGGATAGACAAAAACTTTGAATTTAAAAAGTCTGTCCTTCATGCACAAGAGTGCAGAGGATCCCACGCTGCAGCTAGAGACCTGGAACAAGCCTCCACAAGAGAGACAGCATCGCAGGTGACTAATGCTAATAAATAACATTTGACACATTTCATTTATTATAAGTTAAAGTGTATATCATATGGCTGTTACTGAATATATGTCACCAACTCTTACAGCTGTTAGACCATTTTTGTAGCAAATAAACCTAAATAAGAGGAATATGTTCAGACAAAGGAACGTATATAAAACATCAGTGTTGGTTATCGGCCAAATAAGTTTTGACATATCGGCCAAAAATCCAATATTGTGCATCCCTAATGCATGGCTAAAACTAATTAATCACTTCAGTCAGGTGCTCTGCTAAATGATCACTTTGAAGAGACAAAACATAAACAAACAAAATACTCTGACAAGATTTAATTTATAAATCATTGAAAAATCAGTCAATGTCTACATATAAAACATGTTTCAAATACATCCAGAGAACTTTGAGAAATATTACTCAAGACCACTAAGAGATTACAAGTCTGTCTCCGTGTGAATAAAATGAACATTATAACCAGATGTCAAGACTTCTCCACAATAGAGTACAGTATGGGAAGTAATATCAGCTGACTGAATTACTCAACAAAAACAGAATAGTGAAAGTAAAAAAAAAAAAAACTGTTTCCTTCCATCTGATTAGCTGAAAATAGAACCCATCAGAGGAAGGCAGAGGATAGCTGCAGCGCTTCGGCTCCTAGTATAAATGAAAACACGTAGTGTACTCACCACTTCTGTGGAAGTCTCTGAATGCTCAGAGGTGACATGCTCTTGTAGGGACGTCTCTGTGAAGCCCATTTTACCACAGTAAGGACATGTGAACGACTGAGGCTGCTCTACTGAAAAAGTGTCCCCTCCATAATACAAGTCTGCAAGACAACATTAAAACACCAGCTGTTAGTAGTAGACAGTAAATGATTTGTGGTTATGTGTAATAAAGATTAAATGTGATGTTAACACAGGTTTGGGTCTACGTTGCCACATGGGTCCTTACCATAATCTACTCTAGTTAATATACATTGCATGGGGTGCTCGGTTGTGTGTCGCGTCGTCGTGGCTCCGCTCTCGTAGCACGATGCACACAGGTCGTAATCGTAGCAAATCAAACACTTAAACCGTCGCCCTCTAAAGTTGCCTTTTAAACATGCATCGCAGCTCACACCTGCAAAAAGACAAAAGAAGGCAGCTACATCAAACGCTCAACAATTACATTAAAAATTCCTTACTACGGTGCTTGTCAAATTATAATAAGGCGTTCTTTATCTGAAAACCAGCCCCACGTACACGAGCGTGTTTTGGAGAAGAACCAACACACAAATGCCAGCGACGAAGGTCCCTGGCATTGCTGTTGATTTCTCAGGCAACTCCAAGACGTGACTCAAACATCCGAGAGCTGTTTGCGTTACCGCCCTTGTTACTCATTTATAAAACAGTACACACATTCACAGGTAAGCTTGCTGCTAGTTACAGCGGCATTACAGAAAATACAGTCATTATGAGAAAAAATGTAACTGCAGCCAACTAAAGCAGAGCCAAGCCCTGTCTTACATCTCGCTGCGGCACGACTGACATTTTAAAGTGAAAAAAACTTATTTGGCAAACATGCAATGTAAACAAATGTTTAAGTAATTTCCTGTAAATGATGAAATCTGTCACAAGAAAGAGCTAAAAAAAACCTTTTCATTCTACTCAGTTTTTCTGGACTAGGTTATGTTGTTCTACAAGTGGCAAAGGTTGACAGGAAAACAAACAGTACTACCATACACAACTGTGCACCTTTTTTTGTGAACTTACAAGGCATTTATTGTATTGATGAAGGTGTACTAGCAACAAGTACGTTTACAGGACAGGTAAACAGGTTGCCATGTGCTTTGATGTTAAGATCTGACCTCTGACATTTAGGACTACTGCGTCTTGTGTGTGTAACCTACACTTCTGAAGTGATTGAACAGTAATAAGACTAAAACAAAAGTAACTAAAATTACATTTTCTAATCATACAGGCCATAACTTAACACTAAAACTGTTAGCTACATAGCGCTACATACACTTAGTTTTAGTGATTTCAGGCCTCAGACTTGTGTTTAAACAAGTCTGTGACTACATGATAGGGGACTTGTGTACTAAGTTCACAACTCTGGAAAAAAAATAGCTAAGGAAAATATCTAAACTCTTTTAAAGTGTGTCATTATTTATAACTAGTGAGGTAATAAGCGCTAATATTCGTCGTTAAGTTTTAGCTACTTAGACGGCTTCTTATATTAGCATTCGTTAGCCCGCTAACTACCGCAACCAGGCTAACATAAGCTAAGGCTAACCGCTAAGCTGCGCTGCCGTATCGTGAACACACCGATTAAAACTGCAGCCACCACTTTTAAACAACAAAGCGTGACACACACACGAACGCTAAAGCTGCTGACAGCAAATATAAACATGAGGGGTCAAGCCTGAAAACACGCCATGAAAAGCGCAACGGCTGAAATGAGCACTTAGCGTAGCTAGCCATTGAGCTAGCCGATCAGGTGAAGTATTGTCGCATTGGCTTCATTTCCCAACTCACCCTCATGTCGGGACATCCTACAAACAGCGACACAGCCCCTCTTCGGGCTCTCCGGGGAGCTAAGCGAGGAATTATACCGTTTTTGTGACTCTAAATGGGAGAATTTTTCAGCTTCGACTCTTTACTCAAGCAAGATGGATCCCAGCAGCTTACAGTTCGATCTGCTTCCCGTCCCAGAGTGTCACTTCTGGCCGAGTAGAGCCCGATGATGAACACTAGAGGGCGCTGTTTGATATCAAGCCTCATGTGCGGTTAGCCCTGAGTTTTGACTTATAGGATTTCACATTTCATTATTACGCGATAATAGATGAACATACTTTTGGGTGAAAATTACACAACAATTTTTATAAGAATAAGGAATTCTAGATATATTGTTATACAAGTTTATATGTTTAGATTTACTCCAATAAATTGCAGATGAAGTTTCAAAAAGAGGAAGAGCACATTTATTTCTAATTAAAAAATTAAGTCTAAGTTTGGTCAATTATGACCAGCCAAATTATGGTGACAAAATCCATCCCAACTGGATACTAATAACATTGGATAATCTTTTTATTATTATTTTTTTAAAACACTGTACATGTTTTAATATGCATAAAACATATTAAAGGTTTAACACTGTTTTTAAAGCCTACTACTAAATTATTTAAAAAATGGAACGTGTATCAGCGGTAAATATTATTTTATTATTTTATTCTCAAGCTTCTTAAACAGACTAAGATGGAAAAGTGTTTTTGAATGACAAAGCTTTGTACCTGTATTTTTTACTTTCATAGCGCTATTATATCTATATTGCGTTACATTTTTAATATTTTTAGTGTGTCTTTTTCTTAAGCATGTTTTTGCACTGAAAAAAGGAGTGGCTCTTAATTTCATTGTACTTGTGTATAATGACAATAAACGCATTCTGATTCTGATTCTACTGAAGTTTGGGGAAAAGCATGCAAAACAATTACAAACCCTATTTTTATTTTACAAAAAAGAGCTATAAGAATTATTAGAAGGAAGTGCTATGATCACCCAAAAAATATATTATTTCATCATTTGAAATTATTAAAATGTTATGATTTGGTTGAATATAATATTTTACAAGTCATGTATAAAGCTAAAAAAAATATTACCCCCAAATATGCCATTAAAATTAGTTAAAAAAGCGAGTCATTATAACATAAGGGAATGGAAATGTTTGTAAAACCTCGATTTAGAACTAGTCTGAAAGAGCGTGCGTTGTGAATCAGGAAACAGGATTGTGGAATTGCCTCTATATCATCATAAAAATTTCTAAAACAATTTATAT